GTGAATGGTTGTCTGTCCCTGTGTGTTAGCCCTGTGACAGACTGGCGACCTGTCCAGGGTGTACCCTGCCTTTCGCCCTATGACAGCTGGGATAGGCTCCAGCGCCACCCGCGACCCTGAAAAGGATAAGCGGAAGCGAATGGATGGATGGATGGATGGATACTCAGTAATGGTACTCATTCACACGTGACTACTTTTGTCCTTTTATGTCAAACTTCTGGACGAATGTTCAAGAATGTAAAAATTAGGGGTGGGAATTTAGTGCGTTAATTGTGATTCATTTGAAAAAACATTGTGTGAAAAAAATTAACATATTTAATCGCACTTTACATTTCAAGCAAAGGGGAACTTTTGTTAATGCATGATTTCCTGGTATACCGATTACAGTGACACACACAGCTACAAACCCCCCCCAAAAAAACCCAGCAGAATCAGAAGAAAGCGTGTTGCTAGAACTGAACGAAGGCAAATTTCATTTCTACAGTCTATCCGACAGAAGCCTTGATAAAAGCGTGGTTTTGTGCAAACAGAGTTTGCATACCACTGAAGCACTTTAACTTTATGGCACCATCTAAATGCAGCACAGAAACTGTGGGAGCTGTTAGAGTTAGCAGTTTGAGTACCAACAAAAGTTGTCGGCAGGCCAAACTTGATGAAATGACTGGCTTCAGGACCAAAATTACTAAGTCAACATCAGACAAACTTACAAATTCTCTTGACTGTAGACTAGTATCAGTGGTAGAAGACAGGGGGTTAGAAAGTGTGCTACTGATTCAGATGAGCCCTGTGTTCCAGTCGAGCAGGGACCTACCCACAGATGTCTGTCCTGGTCTGCAAGTATTTGGTTAGTCCTGCCACTTCTCTCCCATGTGAGAGACTGTTCTCACTTGCAAAATACATAGTAACAAAAAAGAGAGATCTGCCTTGAGCTCTGAAAATGTGAACAGGCTAGTTTGTCTAAATAACTGGCTGAAAGAGACAGACAATAAATAAGCATGGAGGTATTGTGAGTCCAATGAGTTTGTTGTTTTTTTGCACTAAAGTGTTTGATGATCACTGTTTTAGCTTAATTTACAAAAGAATGCTGGCTAAGGTTACTCGGAGTTTAAAGGTGAAGCTGGTCAAATAACCTTTTGTTTCTGCCTTTTTTAAGAAAATAAAAATGCACTTTATGTTGAAATTTTTATTATTATTATTATTATTATTACATAACGATAATACAATTATCTGATAAACACTACAAAAATAAAGTATTATTACAGGCTCAATCTAAAGACCAAAAGTAAAACTTGGTCAGCTTAAGTCGAGCTTAAGCTGTAACAGCAGCTACAGTTCTGAACACACACCGAAAATCGTTAGGCATACGAGTACGTATGCCTAACAAATACTTGACATGTGAAAAGGAGAAAGAAGCTGATGTTAGGAAGTTGTGGGTTACAGTCTCATACCCTCCCCCTCCATTCACACATACATTTAGCAGTTTCCCCTTCCCACATTTTCTGTTGTCTTAGTGGGTTTACAACTGATACGTGTGACCTGAACACACAAGTTCACGACAACAAACCAGCTTGCATTAGAACAAAGACCAACCAACTGTCACCACCGGCTAACATTCAATTACAGCATTTCCTGCACACCTAATTAAGACTTTTGCGCATTCCTCTAAACTTGACCACTGTGTGTGTGTGCGCGCACGTGAGTTTTCATGCATCGTGTGTCTGTGTTTGTGCGTGAAAGGACTCGACGAGATCAGTAAACACCGGTTTGAATGGAAACTGGTCATTACCAGGGGAGCCACACCCAAGGCCTTTTCTCCCTCCTCCCCTCAGTGTTGCTCTCTTTCTCCCTAAAGAAAGAGGCTTAGCTTATTGACTTCAGCCAGCCTTTCTTTAGAATAGGAAACAGTACTAGGAAATGCATGCACCCCCACAATAGCTGAAACCAATACGACGGTGTAGGTAGACACAATTGATTGTGTTTGTGACCTCTGATTCCAGGTAAAACTGAGATTGTACTTCTCTCCACAGGACCCTCTCTCTTCTACTGTGAAGTATTGACACCACTCACCATGTGTCACCTATATGGAGATTACCTTTAGCACTTTAATCACCCAGACACACGCACAGACAGCTGCTTGTTTCTCCTGATATGACTGATCCAGTCTTTGTTTCACTTTTAAAACTTAAGCTGTTTTTAACCCCCCCCCTTAACCCTTGTTTTTCTTTAAATCTTCATTCCCATAATTAGCATTTCCTGTAATCTTATTTTTGTTTGTTTTTAAAGCCCAAGTGAATATCTTGTAATAAAGACAGAGGACATGCACTGCTGATATGCATAAATAGTGAGACTGGATCAGGAATGTCATTTAAAATGTATATACAAGTTTGAGGTGGTGTGTGTTTACTGCATGTTTAAGACTGGGATTCAATAGGTGTGTTTCTTTTGGCGTTTTCTTTTTAACTTGTGAAAAAACATGCTTTCGATGCAGTGATCATTAGCATTTCATATCAATTCAAACCTCAGCTGACAGGCCAGGTGTAATAAAGCGTTTAGAGTGCTTGAGTAGAGTAGAAAAGCACTATACAAGAAGCAGTCCATTTACCATTCACAAAATAAGGTTTGTCCTGTCACATCTTTCATATGAACACTGACACAGCCGTTCAAACTCAGTACAAAAGCAAATCAGTGCTTTTTCTATACCTCTGAATTGAATAATGTGAACAGCCCTCCCTCCAAAATAACTTAGTCAAACTAAACAGGAAAAAAAAAAAAGGTTAAAAACTTCCGAAAACCTGGTAAGAGTGTACAAATGAGCGATGGATCAGAAAATAAGCAAACCAGAGATGTTAACTTTATGGTGGTTTATGAAGAGGCACAGATACAGTTTTACTTTGTCTCAATACTCTGGTCCTGAAGTGAAGCTTTTCGTATGCAAATTTGCTGCTTTCGCTTTTTGGGACTTACTGTAAACTCAACACTAACTCTGTGAAGTGAACACGCCGTAACACTGCGTCCACAGACGGAACAGTTTAACTTTATTGCAGGGCTGTTTTCCTGTAGGCGACACCTGTGCTGTAAATGTGCGTTTGGCGTTTTCTTTCCTTTTCTATTTGCATATGCAGTGTGCTGTGTAGATATCCGGGAAAATAAAGGCAGAGGGAAGAAAAATGGTTGTTTTACTTTGGAAGAAAGTTAACACTGCCCTCGTAGTAAGCGTGGCAAAACTGCTTAGCTGCATTAAAAAGAAAAAAAGGGACCGGCTGCTTCTCCGTAAGGTAATGAGCTCCAGACTCCTTCCGCGCAGATACCTTCGCACGATCACGGGAGTCGCGACCTCCGCACGGAGGAAACAATGAAGCACCGTACAAACATTTCTCTTCTCCCCGGGCGCGCATTTCAAACTCGTCGCCCTCCGCTGATTTTTTTTTTTAATACAGAAGAAGTGTGAATGTGTAGCGGGAGACGAGTTTGAACTCACCTTTAGTCGTCTGTGAACGCCTCCAGCAGGTATAGTTATCCAGGTTAGATCTTTGCTTGTTTTCGCACCTGACAACTCCTCCCCAGCTCACAAAGCAAAAGTGGAAAAAAGGAAAAACCCCACAAAAACAGAGGGCCGAAAAAACTACTATGATATGGGTTTTTTTCTGTTTCTATCGAGGCTCAAGTCCACCTTTTACTTTTGAGTCCAAAAAAGTTAAATACGCTCGGTCTTCTGCGTCACCTTTACTCGAACTTTTGTTTCGCTTCCGGTGGGCTTAGCATTTGTTACCTGTGCGCAGTAACTCTGTCCCAGGAGGCGTACACAGGGCGCGGCAGCCGCTCCCTCGTTTGTTCCAACTCGTTCTACTAAACGAGCAGCTTGGAGCTTTTTGGTCGTTCCTTCTGCCAACCTGCGCGTTTTTGGTATCCACCCTGTTTGGCTGGCGGTGGGGCATGTCAGCCAATGAGAGCGGAGCGTCAGAGTGATTGACAGAGTGGGCAAGGACGCTACTCAGGCGGCAGATAAAAACCAGGGATGTGGAGCTAATTTTACATCATAATACCCGAGATATCTTCATGTAAGAAAAACAACTGCAATGTGTAAAATTACACAAGTTCAGGTAGCTTGTTCATAATGTTTTTTCTATAGTGGAACATTTGCAGAAACGTTTCTGGCATAATTAATCAATAGAAAAACCTGTGAAACGTACGACAGAAACAGTTAAAAGTTTAAATTCTATTCCCTCTTTCACATTAACAATAATAATAATAATAATAATAATAATAAAAGCAAAGCTTTTCAGTGGGCCACATTGTAGTCTCTGCTGAGCTGATTTTGGCACCTGGGCCTTATGTTTGACACCCCTGATATAAACTAAAGTAGCAGGTGAACTGTAAATGATCACGTGGTTTGTAGTGAGCTTTAAGGCTGGATGTGTCTGTCACATCTGATGTATTGTAGTAGTAAAGGCTCAAAGTAATTAAAGCTGTGTAAACCTCAGTCAATCTTTGCAACCAAGACAGCTGAGTTCCTCTGATTTTTTTTCTTCCTTTGTGAATTAGTTTATTATTTTTGATCTTTCTCAATTACTTTGTTGATCAGTTTCAATTCAGTTTTTCTTTTCATTTGTTCCAACAGGACAAAATGCACACTGTGAAAGAGAGCCAGAGATTAATAATAACTAATGATTACACGCTTAATGATTAACTAATGATATTATATGTATATAATTTTAGAATGTTTAAGCATGTTTAAGCATGTTATAAGAATAAAGTTGTATAATGTATGTTCCTAGCTTGATTTATATGCTATGTTTGTTTTAGATATCAAATAAAGATTCTCAGTTGTTATATGTGAATGTGTTTTCTTTGACTGAAATATATGAAGGGTAAAATATACTTTTGAAAGATTTTTAATTAATTTTCAATTGTATTTTGAAATATATTTTGAAATACATTTCAAAATATATTTCAAAATATATTTTGTTACCGAATGGGAAGTCATATGCATGTTGTATATTTACTCAGTCTCAAATCTATAACTGCAAATTAGGCCAAAGTGGAAGTGGCAAAAAAAAACTGCAGTTCCTCTGATGACCACTTGAGGCTGGCTCCAAAAGAACACCCCAAAAAGGCCCCCAAAGTATTTGGTGCTAATTTGTACTTCGTAAAAACCACACAGGATGGGATTTTTTTTTAAAAGCTCACCTTTTTAATGCTTACCAAGGCTTAACATTTGCGTGCTGGCCACTTTGATTGACTACTTTGACTTGCAGTGTCTGCTAGGCCTCACCTTTATAATTGAGCTGGAACTCTCGCTTGTGTTTGTGATATTGGTCCAGGAAGTTGGTGCTTTAGTTTTGGTGAGTGAAATTCCAGGAATTGCTGTTAGTTAACACTAATTAGCAGGTGTGTGTTGCAGTGTGTGTGTCGCACCCATACAATATATGGATGTCGACCGCTACATCCATATATTGCTAGTATTACATGCTAGGGTTAGCTAAAAACTTAGCACTCAAACTCTTTGAAAGTAGAAATTTTGAAATTTCTGGTTTTTGAAACCCTTCAAAATATGGAGTACAAAACCACTGGATGATGTCACAGGGTCTACGTTCATGTTTCATATCTGCAAAACCTCGAGGCCTCAAAATGAGGCCTTTAGTAGCGCTTTTTTATACCCCTTCCTGTTTACACCAGTGACCCACTATGTGGTTGGTTAGGATGTGAGAAATGGTTCAGACATGTTTCTTCAGCATGTTCAATCTGCTTTCCTTATTAGGCGGGTTGCATTTCACAATGTGTGTCCAGTGTGTGGTTGTTCCAGCACTCACAGTTTCCAGTTAGCTGTATTGGGCTCCTCCATTTCCTTATTTCCTCCCAGTGTCAGAGGCAGCTGGCCGGAGGCTGGGTATGCCGTAGTCATAGAGAAAAGGATGCCGATTGCCGTCTGTTTCTTCCGCACCTGTTTGACAGTGTGCAAACTCTAACAAATCTCTAATATTATGGTGTAACACAGAGCAGGCCAAGGTTACCAGCAGGCCAGAGCAGTATGATATTAAATTTAATGGTTGAAATTTTATGTTATTGCACTATGAGTTATGTTTTACAGCAGATTTCCTGGTAAGTGGACATTAAACAGTGGCAAGAAAACAGGGCTTGTCTCACAAATTCAGCAATAAGATTCATTCACAGCTGATTGAAATTTTGGGGAAATGTGATTATCGCACATATCCTGTAAGATCTCTTGGCTCTTCAGCTCTGCAGTGATAATAGCAATTCTGTGCCGGTAACCAATAAAAAGCAACCAATCTCAGAGTGGTAATCTTTTAGGATATGGAGAGCTGGGGAATCCAGAGGGAGGGCGACCTGATTGGATGTTTTGTGCTTTTCATACAGTTTTTTGATGAGGTATAAACTATTTTGCAGATAAAGTGTGGATTTCAGCCACAGTATTGTGTTTATTATAGTCTAAACCGGGGCTGTTTAACTAATTTTGTATTTTGGGGCCGTAACAGTGAAACTCCCCTTTCACACAGTGTAAAGAAATGTAACCATGCATTTAACCCCTGCAATATCTTAACATAAGAAAAAGAGGTTTCAACAGTATGTTTTTATACATGACAACAGTACAAACGCTGCTGGAGTTAATGAAAGAAATCTGTCAGTGTGACTTTTTGGACTTTAAACAGGACAAAAATTCTTTTTGTGAATTCACAGAAAGTTTCCTGTGGAAAATTCATACTGTGGACACATTGGGGGAAAAAAGAGAACTTTCTGTAGAGGATAGTGAAAAATAGAACTTCTGTACTTTAATTGTTTAGAAATTGCTTTAATGTAGGATGAATGCTCATGGTGGAAGTCTTTATCTGGAGGTTCACCATTGGCATCCTGTGCTTTTCACCCCTGTGACAGGTGTGAAAGAGTCTGGAGACACCATGGAGAACATTTTATTGCCTAACATCGTTCAGGACGACCAGTTTGACCAGTTTGTAATTGATTGTCTGGGGAAACATATCCATTGAGGGACACGTAGACTAAGTAACAGCACTCCTGCCATAACGTATTGGGATGAAACCCTTGGACCCTTGGTCCCAGAGCATCTCTGGGACATTATGCTTTGTTTCATCCGAGGCACCTCAGACTGTCCTGGAGCTTATTGGCGCTCTTATCCAGATCTGGGCGGAGCTCCCCCAGGACACCATCCGTTGTCTAATTAGGAACATGCGCTGATGTGGTTCAGCCTTCTGTAACTTGATGATTTTCATTTCTATCAAACAACCCAACATTCTTTTGTGCCTAACACATTACCATATCAATATAGATATCCTGGTATCCATTAAAAATAATATGCATAACCATGTGTCTGGTGGTAACGTGGCACTGAATTAATTCACCAAATATTCCTAAAACTTTCAACAGGACAGCACGAAAGAGGACTTCATGTGAAATCATCAGTGGTTGTCAGCTGTTTAACTTTTGATTTAGTGCATTGAAATCACCGTCACTCATGTTCTTGTCACAAGCTGGTCATGTGCACTTTACAGAAAGGGGAAATTTTTAATCTCAGTGGGCTGCATGTGAATAAAGTTGTTTGAGACATGAGACCAACCCTTGTTTATGTTTACAAGGCAAGTAGCAGAACTAGTACAATGTTTTACCTTCCACCACCGATAGATTTTTACTAGATTATGGGAACTTTATACAATTTGGAAGCGATAACATAAACACATCGGGGCACTGGTTTAGGTCAGCGTGTTGAGTGGGCGCCCACATGGCTGAGAGCGGCCGGCCCGGGTTCAAATCTGACCCGTGGCCCTGCACAACAGATACATCAGAATACTAAATATATATTAATGTGGTCATCTTGTCTGAAAATCTACATTTCCTAAGAATAAAGTGGAAACTATGGGCAGAGCAGTATTACTTGCTCTGCCTGTTTCTTTAGTACGGACCTCATCACCAGACATCCCCAAAATATTCCATATTCCAGCGGTTAGCCTCCTGATCCCCACATTGCCTCCAACATTTAGAGTCTCCTCCTGAAAAACAGGCTTTCTGTTTCTGTGTAATGAAGGAAGAAATTCAAACATTTCTATCAAAAACTTTGCTATATTTGAGAGTGTGTACATTTCCATTGTAATTTAGTTCCAACTACTGTTTTTTGCTCGTAACTGCTTTGTTTCTCCTCCTTTAAACATTTTTTGTTGGTTTTCTAGCCCTGGCACTGGTGTTCAGGGTATCATCGTGTGGTTTTGATTGGTGATATTTGTAAAATGAATGATCCTAAATCTTTTGTGCAGATGTTTAGTGTTACCTCACTGTTGTGTCCTTTTTTGTACGGAAAACGCCAAGCTGTAATTACTTTTTCAAAGACAAGGCTAGAGAAATATGAAATATGAACTTTGGTTTGGCTTTTCTGGGCTACATGCTATGTGCCAGTGCCGTTTAGGTATCATCAGGTAATGCAAAAGCAAGGCCAAAAGGTTACTTGGAAACGAGCCCTGTGTTGCTAAAAATATACAAGCAGGAAAAAAAGAGAAAGAAAAGAGGAGCTCTATTTAGAACAGGATGGAGGAAGAGGCGGAAAAAGGAAAGGTTGTGTCGATCCCAAGACAACAACCTGGCAAAGACAGCAGACATGCTTGAGAGAGATTTATCGAGGAGGGTGTAGACCTTTTCAGCCAGTGTGTGTGTGTGTGTGTGTGTGTGTGTGTGTGTGTGTGTGTGTGTGTGTGCTGAAACAGCAGATCACCTCCCACAAGCAAACCATGTGCATGAGAACTAGTTGCGTGTAAGCAGGAGAATGCATTAGCGAGTGAATCTGTGCGTTTTTGACAGAACCATGTGGGGTCTTGTGCAATGTGTTCAGCTCT